TGTCTGTCTGTCTGTCTGTCTATCTATCTATCTATCTATATCTGTCTGTCTGTCTGTTTGTCTATCTATCTATCTATCTGTTGTCTGTCTGTCTGTCTGTGTTATCTATCTATCTATCTGTCTATCTGTCTTTCTATCTATCTATCTATCTGTCTGTCTGTCTGTCTATCTGCTATCTATCTATATCTGTCTGTGTCTGCTATCTATCTATCTATCTGTCTGTCTGTCTGTTATCTATCTGTCTATCTATCTGGCTGTCTGTCTATCTATCTGTCTGTTATCTATCTATCTGTCTGTCTGTCTGTCTATCTGCTATCTATCTATATCTGTCTGTGTCTGCTATCTATCTATCTATCTGTCTGTCTGTCTGTTATCTATCTGTCTATCTGGCTGTCTGTCTGTCTGTCTGTCTGTTATCTATCTATCTGTCTGTCTGTCTGTCTGCTGTCTGTCTGTCTGTCTGCTATCTATCTGTCTATCTATCTGTCTGTCTGTCTGTTATCTATCTGTCTATCTATCTGGCTGTCTGTCTGTCTGTCTATCTATCTGCTATCTATCTGTCTGTCTGTCTGTCTATCTGCTATCTATCTATATCTGTCTGTGTCTGCTATCTATCTATCTATCTGTCTGTCTGTCTGTTATCTATCTGTCTATCTATCTGGCTATCTGTCTATCTGCTATCTATCTGTCTGTCTGTCTATCTGCTATCTATCTGTCTGTCTATCTGATTTGATGTATGCTTGTCTTCTGCAGGTTATTTCTGCTCGTCTGTCTCAGGGTGAGCAGAGGAAGAGAGAGAGTGAGAGACACAGACAGCCGTCTATCTTTCTCTCTCTCTCTCTTCACCTGCGTCCGCAGCAGCAGCGTCTCTGTAAGGCTCTGGTCTCTGTGGCGCAGCTTCTGTCCAAACCATGACGTCACCCCCGTCCCTGCTGGCCTCCCCGTCCCCATGTCCTCCTCCCCCTCCCTCGCTCCCGTCCTCCCCCACGCTCTCCTCTCCCGCCCCGTCCTCGCTCCCCCTGCAGCCCGCTCTGCCGCCCACCGGAGAGGTCATGATTCTGGCTCTGGGCCGTAAGAAGCAGCGGCTCCTCATCGCTCTCTCCATTCTGCCCAACCTCTTCCTGGCGTTCCTGCTGTCCTCCGACCCGCTCCTGACCCTGTCCCCGCCCTTCTGCTGTCGTCTCCCGCGACCCTCGCCCGCTCCTCAGGTGACCAACGCCTTCGTGAGGACGGAGAAAAGAGACGGAGATCTGCCCCAGTGCAAGCACATGTTCGTCAACGGCACGCAGTCGTGTGTGAAGGACTGTGATGCTGGATACGACTACAACGTCACCGAAGGCCTGACCAATAATATCGTCACAGAGGTGGGCCGACACTGTTGAACTAATATGTACACTATATAATAAGTATTGGGACAATCCCTTCTAATGAACAGGGTTGACTACTTTAGTAATTTCCATGAGTACAAATCTTAATGTTAAAGCATATGAGGCTATCTTCAGCCTGAACAATTAAAACTTCCATAACTCCATAACTATATATTGTCCATCATAACAGACATATTTATATGTGACCCTGGACCACAAAACCAGTCGTAAGGGCAATTTTTTGAAATTGAGATTTATACATAAATTAGCTTTCCATTGATGTATGGTTTGTTAGGATAGGACAATATTTGGTCGAGATACAACTATTTGAAAATCTAGAATCTGAGGGTGCAAAAAAAATCAAAATATTGAGAAAATCATCTTAAAAGTTGTCCAAATGAAGTTCTTAGCAATGCATATTACTAATCAAAAATTAAGTTTTGATATATTTACGGTAGGACATTTACAAAATATCTTCATGGAACATGATCTTTACTTAATATCCTAATGATTTTTGGCATAAAAGAAAACGATAATTTTGACCCATGCAATGTATTTTTGGCTATTGCTACAAATATACCCCAGCGAACTTTTTTAATCTAGTTCTTTATGTGCTCTTGTCATTTTTAGTAGTTTTTAAATATATATTTCTATATAGGCTCTATGTATTTCTATATATCTGTCTATGTATAGTTATTTCAGTTTTAGTATTTTTAGTACTTAAACTAATTTATTTCATTTAGCTGCGAAAGCAACATTTCTACATTTCTAAGCGTTTAAACTAATATTTATATTTAATTTAGTTTTAGATTTATTTCCGTTTCAAAGTTTTGAATAAACTTGTATATTTCTATATAGCTATAGCTCTAATATTTCAGTTTTAGATTGTCATTTTAGTGCTTAAACATAAACTTATTTCATTTAGTTGTCAAAGCAAAGTTTTTAATGTAGTATTTATATTTTAGTTTATATATTTGAATATACATTTTGACATTAAAACATTTTGAATTTAAGTTTTAGCAATTTTGGAATGTGCTTCGAACTTTGTACAAATCAAATATTAATATTTTTAATAGTTTTTATTTTTATTATTTCAGTTTTAGCCATTTTAATACTTCAACTGTCTTCATTTAGCTTACATTTATAGTTTTTGTTTAAGATTAAGATTTATATTTTATTTCAGATTTATTTCAGCATTTTAATAGTTTCAGTTTTAGTTAACCGTAACAATGCCCGATATTAAAGTTCTGACATAACTTGTTTGCATGGAAGAAAACACGAACTCACGAGTCTTCAGAGTTCACAGCGTTCTTTCTCATGAACAGGAAGTCTTTTAAAATCACCAATTATGTTTGCATGCCACTGCTACCAAACAACAACTGACTTCCTGTCTGTTGTGTCCTGACTTCCTGTTGTCCCCAGTGGGATCTGGTGTGTTCGCGGTACTGGCTGGTTCCAGTCGAGGAGGTGTGCTTCATTCTGGGGACGCTGACAGGCTGTCTGGGTTTGGGCTACACGGCTGACCGGTGAGAAACCGTCTCTTGGGTTTGTTGTTCGTTCCGTCGTTCCAGTGTTTATTGGGTTGTCGTGTGTGTTCAGACTGGGCAGGCAGAAGTCTCTGCTGGTGTCTCTGATGCTGGCGGTGGTGTTTGGGGTGCTGGTGTGTGTGTCGCCCTCACCGCCCGTCTTCATCACCATGCGCTTCTGTCTGGCCGCGGCGAGCGCCGGCGTCTTCCTCACGCTGTACGTCACACGTAAGTCAAACACAAGTCATAAACATCAAAGCTTGTTTGTCGTGATGTTACGCTGCAAGAAATGATCTTACTCAGCATTTTTGTTTTGTTTACAGTACAAATATCTAAACATTCTTAAATCAAGATACATTGGTTTCACTTTATTTTGATGGTCACTTTAACACATTCTGTTGACTATAAGTAACATTGCACATACATATCTACTATTTCTTATTAGAGTGTTAGTAGAGTATTAGTAGACTGGTAGGGTTAGAACAAGTTGACATAGGATGACCATACATCCTCTTTTCCCCGGACATGTCCTCTTTTTGGACCTAAAAAAAAAAATGCGTCCGGCCGGGATTTCTTAATCGCTCAAAATGTCCCGATCACACGCACTCTGTGTAAAGGGAGCACATCTTGCAAGATCAGATATTTGTGACCCTGGACCACAAAACCAGTCTTAAGTGTCAATTCACATATTTATACATAGAATTCAAAATTTGTACATTTTTAAACTGCACACTTGTGTACAGATATACTGTATACCCCAGCGACTTAAGACTGGTTTTGTGCTCCAGGGTCACATATTGTAACGTTGCACCTACATATCTACTATTTCTTACTAGAATGTTAGAGTATTAGTAGACTGGTAGGGTTAGGGTTAGATTAAGTTGACATGTTCTTGCAAAGTTACTTATAGTCAGTAGAATGTCTGTTGGGAGACCATCACAATAAAGAGTTATCAGATATTGAGCAAACAGTCTACTAATACTCTAATAAGAGTTAGTTGACATGTAGATGCAGCGTTACTTATTGTCAACAGAATGTTTAAAAGGGACCATCAAAATAAAGTGTTACCAATACATTTACTTGAGATGCAAAGTCTTATTTTCTGAAAAAAAGTATCCTTATGAAGTGACTTGATGCTTAAAATAATATTAATAATTAAAAAAAATATGCCAACGGATTAAGAAAAATTTACTTAATTCAAAAAGAAACAAGTTTATTTTTCTACCCCATTGGCAATTGCTTTTCTCACTTTAAAGGGTTAGTTCACCCAAAAATGAAAATCAGCCCATAAATTACACACCCTCAAGTCATCCTAGGTGTATATGACTTTCTTCTTTCAGACGAATCCAGTCGGAGTTATATTAAAAATTGTCTTTGATCTTTCAAGCTGTTTCATGGCACTCAGCGGGTGTTGCATGCATCAGTCCAAAAGAAGCGAAATAAAAAGCGCCCATCCATAAAAAATAGTGTCTCACACAGCTCCGGGGGGTGAACAAAGGCCTCCTGTAGCGAATCAATGCGTTTTTGTAAGAAAAATATCCAACTTTTATAAAGAATATCTCTTTGGATTTGAGACTTTAGTCTTTGCAACTTTACAGATCTTCTTTATGCACCAAGAGCTTGTAACACTCCACAGAGAAAGGAAAAATTGAAATCGCATCATATGACCCCTTTAAGTTTTTATAGAGGGTTTGTTCATCTGCCTGACCTTATACATTTTATTCCTAAAACCTTGAAAATGTTTTGTTTTTTTCTGTCTGCTGACAGTATTTTGTGATTTATGGAGTGATACAAAAAAGAAATCCCAAATCCTCTCTTGTAAAAACTCTAGCTCTAATGTAAAAAAAATCAAAGAAAAATGATGAAACTGACTTTAAAATCTATGCAAAATAGTGTATTTGCTTTATATAATCGTTCATTTGCATATTTAAACATTTCAGAAATTTTTAGTTTTTTTTAATGTAATCATGCAATCAATAATGTAAGTATATTAGTTCTATTAGTTACATTTTTTTACCCTATACATCTGGGTGTCTTGCCTTAATTTTGATAACTTTTTTCAAAATTACTTCTTAAGTTAATGTACCTTGATTTAAAAATGTTGAGATAATTGTACTGGAAAACAGCCCAAAAATACTGAGGAAGAACTTCACATATTGCAGTGTAGTTGATATTTTAAGCATCCACAGAATCCTTTGACAGTGGATCTAGAACTATAGAATTACACAAATGTGACCCTGGAGCACAAAACCAGTCTTAAGTCGCTGGGGGATATTTGTAGCAATAGCCAACAATACATTGTATGGGTCAAAATGATAGATTTTTCTTTTATGCCAAAAATCATTAGGATATTAAGTAAAGATGATGTTCCATGAAGATATTTTGTAAATTTCCTACCGTAAATATATCAAAACTTAATTTTTGATTAGTAATATGCATTGCTAAGAACTTCATTTGGACAACTTTAAAGATGATTTTCTCAATATTTAGATTTTTTTGCACCCTCAGATTCAGCTTTCAGATGATGCATAAATCTCAATTTTGAAACATTGACCCTTATGACTGGTTTTCTGCTCCAGGGTCACATATCACTGTCCTTAACCAGAATATGAAACACTCAAATGCATTCTGTTAGTGACTTTTAAAGCTGTTTGTCTGTAGGTGTGGAACTGTGTGACCCGTCGCTGCGGCTGCTGGCGACGATGATGTCCGGTCTAACTGTGTTTGCGGGCGAGCTCCTGCTGCTGGCTGTGGCCCTCGGCTGCGGCTCCTGGAGGGGCCTGTTAGGAACCGGAGCAGCTCCTCTGTCCTTGTTCCTGTGCTATGGGTTAGTCCATGATGAATGACACCTATTGATCATGTGGTTTTTGGTTTGTATACTTGATGAATATAAAACAAATGCATTCTGTTAGTGACTTTTAAAGCTGTTTGTCTGTAGGTGTGGAACTGTGTGACCCATCGCTGCGGCTGCTGGCGACGATGATGTCCGGTCTGACTGTGTTTGCGGGCGAGCTCCTGCTGCTGGCTGTGGCCCTCGGCTGCGGCTCCTGGAGGGGCCTGTTAGGAACCGGAGCAGCTCCTCTGTCCTTGTTCCTGTGCTATGGGTTAGTCCATGATGAATGACACCTATTGATCATGTGGTTTTTGGTTTGTATACTTGATAAATCATTATTAGAGGTGCACCTGTTAGAAAGTTTGAGGCAGATAGTCAAGTCACCTTAGTGTCTGTAACACTTTATACAAAGCAGATTGAGTCAAAGCAGCTTCACAGAGATTAACATGGAAATACAAATCAAAAAAATTTAATTGTCCCTTTTAAACCAATGTTTACTTAAATGAAACAAAAAATATTTGATGGCTTTATATTTGATGGAGTTATTATTAAATGAATTATTTATATAAATATATATATATCAGGGTTATTAGAGTTAACTAAAACTGAAACTAAAATCCAGGGTCACATATTTATTTATTCCCACAAGCATTTATATCTTTATTTAAATATTGCCAGGTTTATTTAAACATTTACATGTATTTTTGTGTTTATTCCTATATTCCTGTCTTGTTTGATTGTTAGGTGGCTGGTCTTATCGTATCTTGAAGTGTATTCTTGTGTTCAGGTTCATCTCTCATGTTGGACACGGAGTCGTCCTCGTCTCCTAGACGTCCTCATCTGTCTTTCCCAGAGCTGCTTCATAGCAGAAACATCTGGAAAAACCTGTGTGTGCTGGGATTCACTTCGTAAGTCATTCCGTCAGAGGATTCACCCCCAGTTTCTATTGGACGTACCTGCTGTCTGTATGTGCAGGGGGCGGAGCCTGGCTGTTGCTCTGGGCAACGGTGGACAGGTTTGGTCGTCGTGGAATTCTTCTTCTAGCCATGACCTTGACCGGACTGGCCTCCCTAATCCTGCTCGGACTCATGGACTGTAAGTGTTTTTTGCTCAGGATGTTTTGGTGATATTTTACCCTAAAAGTAAAACAAAGTAAGGTGTTTTTTATCATTTTCTATATATTTAAATTTTAAAATAAACAAATCCCTTTCATCACAGTAATACATTTATACAAATCATCCAGGATACAATGATTTAAAAAAAAATAATTATAATAAACTGCATACATTTAAAACAAATACTACTATCCCATAGTAATACATAGTACATAGAATACTTACAATTCTATTTAACAGTTTAAATATTTTTTTTTACATTCCCATCAGTTAGTATTTGCTTAGATGTTGTGAAAAATGTTCTTTATTGTTAATTATAAATGCATTTAATTGTTTAAAATAATTTCACAGTGCAAACAAAGTCTAAAAATACTCTTTTATGCTAATATATATATATATATATATATGTGCTATCAAAAGATTAATCGTGATTAATCACATCCAAAATAAAAGTTTTTGTTTACATAATATATGTGTGTGTACTGTGTATATTTATTATGTATATATGAAGACACACACACAGCATATATTTTGAAAATATTTACGTGTATATATTTAAATTCATATAAATTATATCATATATAAATGTAACCTATTTTTCTTAAATATGTACATGCATGTGTTTGTATTTATATATACATAATACATATACACGGTACACACACACATATGTAAACAAAAACTTTTATTTTGGATGCGATTAATCACGATTTTTTTTTTTTTAAATTTTTTTTTTTTTGAAAGTTGAATGTGATCTGGACATATTCTTGGCAGGTTTTGCAAGATTTGTGCATTCTTTGAGCAAACGCTTAAAACGAGGAATACAACAAGTTATCAATCATATAGCATAGCATAAGGATGCAACAACACGAGAAGTGCTAGCAATACAAGTTTCAAACATTGTCCAGTTAATTCTTTCAGGCATTTTGCTCGATAAAGTCTAACGTTGAGATGAATGTGTCCCTGCAGATCTGAGTGAGTCAGCCATGACTGTGTTCTCTATAATGGGCCTGTTCTCGTCCCAAGCGGCCGCCTCCCTCTCCATTCTGTTCACCGCTGAAGTCATGCCCACCATCATCAGGTAAACACACGCTCCCGCGGGGCTGGTTACTAGCGCACCGTCATAACCTCACGCTTATTTTAGCTCTTGAAGCAGCAGAATGCATGTAATGTGTGGACAACGAGAGAGTCAAGAAAACAGCACGATCCCTGCTGGACTCCCGAGAGCCGGTTTGGGATGTAATTTATGCATCACTTCTGTGTTGTTCTGGCTTCCCGCCAAGAGTGTTTCTCCTGGGAGGAAACCGAGGGAAGAGTTTGCACCAGTTGTTCACTTATTAAGAGTTTTCACGTACTGTAGCCGGCAGAGCTTGACCCTAACAAACGGCAAGGTCATGGGTTTGATTCCTAGGGAATGTATGAAGTAATAAAATGTAAATCCTGAATGCACTGGATAAAAGCATTTGCCAGATGCATAAATGTGACCCTGGAGCACAAAAGCAGTGAATGCCTGTAATGTTGTTGTCAATGTTATAATATTTAATTGGGAACACTTTAGGGACCAATTCTCACTATTATGTAGTTGCTCATTAGCATGCATATTGGCTGTTTATTAGTACTTATAAAGCACATATTAATGCCTTATTCTTCCATATTTTAGATCCCTTAATCTTACTCCATACCCAAACTTAACAACTACTTTACTATTAATAAGCAGCAAATTAGGAGTTTATTTAGGCAGACGTTGTAGTGAATAGTTAGTTAATAGTGAGAATTGGTCCCCAAACTAAAGTGTGACCGTGTAATTATAATGCTTATTTGTAATGTTGGGAGATGCCACTCATGCTGCCTTCACTTGTTATTGGAAATACCGAGTCCTACTTCTGAAGTTGTAATTATGTGTTTATCAAGTTGAAGTTCTTTGTTGTTGGAACAAAATCGAAATCATGGAGGAAACCAGGCGCATTTTTGCCTGTTTCTTGGAGAAATCTTATTAAAGTCAAAATGCATTGAAGATGCATAGTGAATATCCCATGGGTTTTGAATAAAATGTAGCATCCCATCTGTTGACAACCATGTAAACATTGGAATTTCGGTCAAATAAATGTTGTTTTCACAGTGTAAAATAAATACAATATTCGGGAACACTTTACTTAAAGCCTTTATGTATAATGTATTATAAAAGTAGTTTTAATGCATTAATTATGCCTTGTAATGCTCATTATAATGCACTGTACAATCTCATGAATAATTGTAACCACAGTTAATACATTATAACACATACATTTGTTACAATGTGCATTTCAAATTTGGTTACAATTATTTACGACAAGATATAATGTACTCCAATGCACATAATGAATACTTATAATAAAACCTTTATGTATAATGCATTATAAAGGGTTAAGTAAAGTGTTACCCAGTATTCTTCAAATGGTTATTTATGAACATACATATACTGTAAGGGAAAAATAAAGCAATGTAGATATGGGGAAAAAATTTATAAAACTTAACAATCAGTACAGCAATAGATATCTTCGCCAAAGTTTATGGCTTGCTAAACTCTGAAACTCAGGTATCAAGATTATCTGAGTTTTCCCAACTTGAGAGGCCAACTTGGAAACTAATATGTGACCCTGCAGCACAAAAGCAGTCTTAAGTCGCTGGGGTATATTTGTAGCAATAGCCAAAAATCATTAGGATGTTAAGTAAAGATCATGTTCCATGAAGATATTTTGTAAATTTCCTACTGTAAATATATAAAAACTTAATTTTTGATTAGTAATATGCATTGCTAAGAACTTCATTTGGACAACTTTAAAGATGATTTTCTCAATATTTAGATTTTTTTGCACCCTCAGATTCCAGATTTTCAAATAGTTGTATCTCGGCCAAATACTGTCCTATCCTAATCTCTTCCTTGAAAAATTTACACTTAAGACTGGTTTTGTGGTCCAGGGTCACATATTTACAATAACTCAAATATCACGTGAAGGCAACTTCAAAAGCTCCATCATGCTTCCACTTTTCTTCAACCAATAGTTGGGTAATATTTCCATTTAGACAGAAGATTTCGTAGAAGCACACTATGAAAGTGGTGGTTTTAATGTTCTATTCTTGTGTCCACAGAGGAAGTGGTGTGGGAGCGGTCATGGCTTTGGGCTGTGTGGGCCGCCTCAGTTCTCCTCTCATGAATCTGCGTAATCACTACGGCTACTTTCTGCACCATGTGGTCTACTCGTCTCTGGCCCTGCTGGCGGTCCTCTCCATCCTGCTTCTCCCGGAGAGCAAACGCAAACCCCTTCCACAGACGCTGGCGGATGGAGAACAGTACCGCCGTCCTCCGCTGGGCCGAAGACGTAGGGATAACGTTCCTCTTCTGGCTACGCCTAACCCAGAGACCTAGCCTTCACTCTTCAACCACAAATACTGAGGGACTGACCTCGGAGTCCCGTCCTAATAATCCTGTATTTGTAGTCATTCCTAACACGTGTCGGTGGAGTCGTGGCACATGGACTCCGTCATGAAGTGTGAGGGGTGAAGGGTACCGAAGCGCGTCCACGGAGTACGCAAACGCTTGTCAGTGCACAGTGGCATAAACAAGGGCATACATTTTTAATTAAACATTGTCTGACCCATGTAGCATTCGGTGACTTATTAGTAATATATTAGACCAATATGAGATAACGGCTCAAAATGACAGAGGTCGTTTTGAAACATATTTATCCCTTTCAAAACAGGCTTAAGTTCTCACTCCAGATGGAAGGAGGCTGGAATTGGTTCTCTTAGTACTTTAACTCATTGCTGCTAAGAATGGCGCGCCTAGAGGATCGCTGCAGGACTGATCGATGCATCGGGCGAGAAGCGCTGAGGATTATTTATGTGCACTCTGATTGGACTGAGGCATGATACTAGAAACACTTATTATTGTATGTTACGTCACTCTTTGTTAAAGGAGTATTATAGGAATGCAACTTAAGTTGTATGTGCAGAAGCTGGGACGTGTTGTCAGTTACTCCAGATTTTATTGTTGACTGTTGCACAATCAGGTGATAACATTTGTTGCAGATGGATTAGTCAAAACATAACAAAATAACGGAATTTGTGCTGTAAAAAAATGCATCCTTCATATCTCTGCTTTTAAAACCTCTAGTGCATCATCCATTGTAAGTGCTTTACTGTGCACACTGATCTGAGGGACAATTTTGTGGAGTAATTTGACAGCTTAAGTTGCAATAAACCTGTAATATTCCTTTAATGAGGCTGATTGAAATCGCACTGCTCATAGCGTCCCTTATTTCTTTGTTACTTACCTGCTGAAGAGTATGACAGCAGCGGGAAGGATGTTAACACTGTCAGGATTTATTTTGTGTGTCTTTCTCTCTATTTTGTCTTTGCCTATTGCATTTTCAGTCTGATTATTGAAATAAGGAACATTGGAAACACGAGTTATGTAGCTTTCTCTTGTAAATGAAATTAAAATGCACTTAATAGTTCTAAATTGTTAGTAATAATTTAAATTATTAATACTACTACTACTTGAATAATAGTAATAAATCTGATGATTGCGCAACACTTACTAAACAATGCTGTAATTATTAATAAATCTTTAACCAAGTCTAATTACAAATAAAATCTGGTAAAATCACAGTGATTAGAAGTGAATATGTTCTTTGGAAGTCTAAAGCTGAATGCATTTGGACATTGGTGTTGAATGTTCTGTTGTACCTCTGGTCTATCAGTATTTGCTGGTTTGTGCATTTTTGGCTCTTCGTTGGTTGAATTGCATGGGAACCCTAAATACGAATGTATTTCAGTATAACATTAGACAATATCAAATGTAGTCTCCTAGAGACAGCAGTGACTAATTTAGCATCGTAGCTCTATTGAATTACCATTATGATTCTCAGACAGCTGGCTGCTTGCGTCCTCTCTCGTACTGTAAATCCTGTAGATCAATCCACTAATCGTCCTTATGAGATTCTTGCCGGGAGATTTCGAGTCTCTGAGGGTTTGGTTGTAGATGTGATGAATGTATGCGCAATGAAAACGATCTCACTTGTTGAAGACTTGCACCTTGTTAACATCTGACTTTTGCTGCCTAGTTGTCTTCACTTGGCGGGACATCTTATTATAGTCCCTCTTTGTCGTCACACTGGTTGAACCTCATGTCTCGCTTGTCTTGTGATGGTGGATGCATGCACAAGATATCACAGCAAGGCCATCACCGCTTTAGTTTCACCACTGCAATACACCAAAGTGGTCCATCACTCTTCCTTTCTTTATATTTGTCTTTCAGTGAAACGTTCCACAGCGTTGCATAAATGGAAGTGCTACTGTCTGTGGCCCAACCTGTGATTCTCAATCAATGGGCGTCACTTTCCAGGAATTTCACAGGGTTATCTTTGTACCCAAGGACAAATGAGGAGATGATCCTGTGCCAATGAGGCAAGGAATCATTTCATCTGTCGCTCATTGACCTTCAACCCATCTGAACCCATTGTATGACAGATGGTTGTTCACTGTGACATTTCAAACTTCTGTTGTCCTTAGTAGTTGCATGTGCCTGGCAAAATTATTCCATAAATAGCCAAATTTGGATGTGATTTTACATTCCCCCGCTTTTTGTTGCATACCTGTCAAAAGTTATATGAATGTAATCTGAATGTCTTTTCGATATGGGAAATAGTGCTTTGTTGATGTATTCGGAGAAAATGAAAACGCAAACACCATGGTTGAATCTCAACTGTTACTTTATTAGGATTACTTACCTGTCTGATTATTCTATTAGACTTCTATTAGGCAGTTACAAAGCTACTTTAAGGTCAAAAACATATACTTATAAAACGTATACTTTATATACTTCAAAATTATATGTACATTTATACATATTTATGATGCAACACAAGCTAATAATGCTGTGAGATTCAGATTGCCCGTTGGGGGAAAAAAATCATGCTTAATGATTTTAGCACATTTTGAATACAAACGGCTTAACGGTGAAAGCATCGTCTTTGGTGATTTTGATTGTCTCCCTGTAATTATTTTCCATTATGGGATGTTGTTGGCAGTGGTGGAATGACTGGTGTGTATGAAAAACTATGCTTATCCCTCCCTACGTCAGCTGAACCAAACACAGTAGCAGTTTGGCATAACAGTGTGCCAAATCCCTTATTTAGATGGATAGTGGCTTTATAAAAGAGAGGATTGGTTGTAGGGGAGCGTTTGTAATAACTGCTTTCTGTAATGTAATGGTTATACTACGACCCAGGGGAGCTTTCTAGACAGCTAGAGGAGAAAGACTCCCTGGTGTCTCAGCTAACAGGAGGCAAGCAGTCCTACACTCAGCAGATTGAAGACCTCAAGAGACAGCTAGAGGAGGAAGTCAAGGTATTGCAACTACAACTTCAAATTCAATGTTATAGAATAGAACAGAATGCCATGGTACAAGGACAGCCTTGGGTCTAGTGCTTCGCTTAAAACCGTGATTCAGTTCTCTCATTAAGGTGTTCAAACTTTTTAAGCTTATTAACTCAGATGTTTAACCATTGATCTACACCACTAGAAATTAAGCCTCTGATGAATCCAAAGTCCAGAAACAACCAAGGTTGTCACTTGAACCCACAAGTTTAGAGTAACACAGTGCAGCATTCATTCACCTTAATCACTGAAATGCTTTGTCACTCAATAAGCTCTTCTAGGAGCAGTGCGATTCAAACCCACACTCCTCAAAGAGACTAGAGCCTTATGCTACAGCTTTGGGCCATTCTCCATAACAAAAAACATTAATTTTGAATATCTTGTAGGCTAAGAATGCCCTGGCCCATGCAGTTCAGTCTGCTCGTCACGACTCTGATCTGCTGAGGGAGCAGTATGAGGAGGAGCAAGAAGCCAAAGCTGAGCTGCAGCGGAGTCTGTCCAAGGCAAACTCTGAGGTGGCTCAGTGGAGAACCAAGTATGAAACTGATGCCATTCAGAGGACTGAGGAGCTGGAGGATGCTAAGTAAGAACAGAAAATATTTGGTATTTCCATGTAGCATACCATACAAACATCTGACTGACTCTGTTTCTTCATGAAGGAAGAAGCTGGCTCAGCGTCTGCAAGATGCAGAAGAAGCTGTGGAAGCTGTCAATGCTAAATGCTCCTCACTGGAGAAGACCAAACACAGGCTGCAGAATGAGATTGAAGATCTCATGGTGGATGTGGAGAGATCCAATGCTGCTGCCGCTGCTCTGGACAAGAAGCAAAGATACTTTGACAAGGTGAATTAAATAGATATATAATCTTTATGTTCATCAAAGTCCAATGATAGCTAATCAAAGTCTCTGAAACTATCAAACAGGTCCTAGCTGAATGGAAGCAGAAATATGAGGAGTCTCAGAGTGAGCTGGAAAGCTCCCAGAAGGAGGCCAGATCTCTGAGCACTGAACTGTTCAAACTGAAGAACTCTCATGAGGAGTCACTGGACCACCTGGAGACCATGAAGAGAGAAAACAAGAACCTCCAAGGTGCCCTTGATTTAGTATTCAAATAAATATCACAAAATTTGAATATTTCGTTTGATTTTGTGCAATAACCATTATTACTTTCCCTAATAATGTGGAGACGTCTGTGGAGACGTGCTGAAATGGCGTTTGGTCTCGTACTGTATCGCGTACCTTGTCAGTGTCGTGCGCTTTGCTTGGCCATTTGTTGGGATAAACAGGAAAGTGTGTCCATTTGTAAGTCGCTTTGGATAAAAGCATCTGCTAAATGACTAAAAGTAAAAAGTAATAAACAGAGGAGATTGCTTATCTCACTGAACAAATTGGTGAGAGTGGAAAGAACATTCATGAACTAGAGAAAATTTGTAAGCAGCTGGAGCAGGAAAAAGCTACAAATTCAAGCAGCTCTGGAGGAAGCGGAGATAAATTGTTATGTGTAGATGTACCAGGTCTAGTTTTTCCAGTTATACACTAGACCGGTGGTCACCAACCTTTTTAAGCCCAAGATCCCTGATCTCGGCCTTTAAGGGGGTGGTTGACTGGTTTTTTTCTAGGCTTGATTGTGTTTATGGGGTGCAGTCTAACATGTGTTCATGCTTCGTTTAAAAAAAAAAAAAAACATAATTTTTCACATAATTTACCTTTATTCTTCACCGCTCTGTCCCTTCTCTGAGAAACAGGATTATCATTTCCTGCTTTTATGAAGCCCCTCCCTCAGAAATACGCAATGGGCTCTGATTGGTTACCTAGTCCAGTGTGTTGTGATTGGCTAAACCGCCTCTGGTGCATGTCTAAACGTCCCGCCCCTCACCTCAGCGGCATGTGCTCCAGTTGTATTGTAAATAATGGCGTCGTCTATATTGCTTATCAATTTGAGCCCGATTGAGACGCAAAGGATATCAGTGAAGAGGATTGTGCAGAACATGTGCAAGCACGTCTCACGGTATGCTTTACCAACAATTTGTAAAGCAAAATGAAATCTTATAAAGTTCTGCAGTCTATTCATATGTAAAATTTGTCCTTTGCAGGATGCCCAACTGCAGCTGGATGACGCTCTGCGTGGTAATGATGATCTCAAAGACGCAGACGCAACAATCTGCTGCAGGCTGAACTGGATGAGCTGAGATCCCTGGTGGAACAGACTGAGAGAGGAAGGAAACTGGCTGAGCTGAACTGCTGGACGTCAGTGAGAGAGTTCAGCTCCTGCATTCTCAGGTATGACACATCTGGCCACATCTTCACGCTAACCAAACCTTTAAACCCTCTCTTAGTACATAATATCATCTAGAGACTATATGAATGTCAATAATGTCTATGTTTAGAACACCAGCTTGCTGAATCAGAAGAAGAAGCTGGAGGGAGATAATACTCAGCTTCAGACTGAGGTTGAGGAGGCAGTGCAGGAGTGCAGGAATGCTGAGGAAAAAGCCAAGAAGGCCATCACTGATGCTGCCATGATGGCAGAAGAGCTGAAGAAGGAGCAGGACACCAGCGCTCATCTGGAGCGCATGAAGAAGAACATGGAGCAGACCATCAAGGACCTGCAGCACCGTCTGGATGAAGCTGAGCAGATCGCCATGAAGGGAGGCAAGAAGCAGGTCCAGAAACTGGAAGCCAGGGTAAGCTGCTGATGTTTTCGGAAAGTGTATTCTTTCTTCTTCTGTAATTAGCATACTTATTATGTTTGATAAGCTAAATATCTTACACAACTCTTAGGTGAGAGAGCTGGAAAATGAGGTGGAGCTGGAACAGAGAAAGGCGAGCGAGTCTGTGAAAGGAGTTCGTAAATATGAGAGACGCATCAAGGAGCTCACCTACCAGGTCACTTTCTCTATTCAATATGATATCCCCATCCTCAGACCACACAGACCAAAAATAATCAAGTCTATTAACAGACTGAGGAGGACCGTAAGAAACTGGCACGTCTTCAGGATCTGGTGGACAAACTTCAGCTGAAGGTCAAGTCCTACAAGAGAGCTGCTGAAGAGGCGGTAAGTTAATTTCTGGGTCATCCCTTTACTGTACTGTATATATATATACTGTTCTGTATATTGTTTTCCGTAAGCTGCTGCATGAGGCAGAGGAGAGGGCTGATATTGCTGAATCTCAGGTCAACAAGCTGAGAGCCAAGAGCCGTGAAACAGGATCTAAGGTAAGTTATCTTAGTTTTATGCAGTATTTTGTGTACTTAC